AATTCCGTTAGATAGACACTTTTTATATATAGAAAGATATAATTGTGTAAAACACATTGTCAATCCGTTGCATGCTACTATATACTAGTAAAAAAAAACATGTAGTATTTAGTTGGAAATCAATATTAAAACTCACTATTTTTCTCTTTTTACTCGTTCCTAAGATTGGATTATTTACCAAATAATATCAAGAAAAGTTATGGAACTAGTTTGGTTTTGAGTGTTGAGATGGGAGCGATTCCAAGAAAATTATGGTGTGCAAAGGAAATGATGGGGGTGTAACAAGTAGAACTCACCGGGTCGGGTGTCTTACAAGAAGAAGCATCAAAGTACTTGTACTCTTGACTCGTATAATTGTTGAAACTTTTTAATGTAGACGAAACTTTCTAGGACAAATGAGACGTGAAAGATAGTTCTTTCTTTGCACAAAGCTTTTTGAGAATTGAAAATTGAATCTAGCGACTTGCAAGGGTTCGACATCGAGTCACACAACATGATTGAATTAGATGGTGCATTGTGGTGAGTTGTGGGATAGAGTGCTTGGCAGGGATGGTTTTGAATTTTTCATTTTCATTTGTTCTCGTATTTGTCTCTCTTCAGCACATCCCGACTCAACGTATTAAATGACATGCCACATATTCGTTATTTTGCCATATGGACGGAAATGTAGTTCCACTAACGGAGGGACTGTTTGATAGGCCATTATTTTTCATGGAAAGTATAAAACAAATTTCAACTTCCACTTTTACCATTGTTTGATACATTTTTTTCCATGGAAAAAACTTTCTTGGTTTGGCTCACATGCTCACACTTTCCTTGATTTTGTGGATTTTCCTTGATTTTGTGGATTTTCCATTTTTTTTTTTTTGGCAATTGAAAAAATTTGTGGACATAATGGTAAAAAAATTTATCATTTTTATTGACAATTTTCATGTAAAACAAAGCCAACCGAATAGTATTCAGTATGGTAAATTCTTTTTAAATTTTTAAATATTTTTTTTTTTTTTTGCAATGGGAACAAATTTTAGATCCAATGGTAGAAATAATTACCACTCTAATTGACAATTTTCATAAAAAATGAAGTCAAATGGACACCAAACTTTCAACATTTTTCAGGTGAAAAATTATACCAATCAAACACAATTAATTACAATTTTCAGTAAAACAATTTCTAGACAATTCAATTCCTCGTAAGACATTTTCTTTCTACTTATTTTTCACCTTTGAAATTAAACGGACCCTAACATATCAAAGTGTTTTAATGGAAAAGGAAATCAGCGATCAAATTACCAATAGGACTGAAATAAACTTTACCCAAAGTTAGGTGACCGATAATCTCTCTTACCTCAATTTCAATTATAGTCAGCCAAACAAAATGAATCAAAATTGCCGGTTTTAGTTTGGATTTCAAGCCTTTTGGTTGGCATCAGCTGACACGCCAGGTCCCAAATCACCCTAGTAGATCCGTAACGCTACTTGCACATATGAAAGATGTCAGCTGGACGCTGAACCCACATTCAAGACTAATTTTGACTTGCTATGACTGATATATATATAAAATCTTTTTGTAATTTTCTGTAAAAAATTGCAAATTTCACATTCTTTTTTATCTAACCAAGTATTTTTTTTAGATGAAATATACTATTTGTACATTCTAAGTGTACATTAATATTGATATTGTGTAAGGTGTATAAATTTGTGTCATTGATTGTTTTAAGTATTGTTAAAATCAATGACAAAAAAATGTGTACCACCTCACACACTGTTAATATTATCGTCAATGTAACATGAATGTTTAGATAGGAATGGCAACGGAGTGGATCAGGATTAGGGCAACCGCCCTCACCCCCACCCCGTTGGGTAATCTCTCACCCCATACATGTGCCCATTACCCATTTAAGGCAGGGTAAGGTCCTTGCCCCATTTACTATCCGTTTAATTTTTATTTAATTTTTAATTTTTGATAATTTATTTTATTACTCTCATTCATTAAAGTGAAACAATAATATATTTATTAAATTTTTAATTTGTTTATTTTTAAAAATTAATTTATTTAAATATATTTGGTAAACTAAAGCCTTTATTGTTTGTTATATTTCTTATATAATTTTAGTTGTCATCTTCTGTTAAAATTAATGAAATTACGTTGAGTTTTTCATTTAAAATATTGAATTCTTAAAAAAAAAATTAAAAATTAGACGGGGTGGAGCCCTTTTTATCCATACCCGTCCCAGGGTGAAGCCCCGTCCCCCAACCCGAGTACCTAATTAAGTGGGTAATCCTCACCCCATTTGGACGAGCCCCGCGTGTATCGAGTTTAACGAGTTTTTTTGTCATCCCTATTTTTATACATATGTTACAAATAACATTATTGTTTTACCGTATCTTTGAATAATTTATTTTATTTATAAAAATTACTTATTCTAATAGTAAAATAATCGTAAAACTTTCTAATTAAGTTACTTGTCATTAACTATGACAAAAATATTACTTATGTACGTCAAGTGAACTTAATTATAAGTAAAATTTAGAATTATCAATTTAAAAATCTACTTATCTTTCCCATTAATTTGTTCTCTATCTTATCAACTTCATTAATCAACGAAATTTCAGAATTATATTACATGTACAAAGTTGGTTAACAAAATAACATTTACATCAATCACTTTAAAAACAAATTTTTAAATCATTTGAAATCAACGGTCTGAATTTTGTCAACACACTTTGTAACCCAAATTTTATAACTCAACTTTGTACAGATAGCTTTTTGGACACTGAAAAAATGCTGGACGGAAAGTACGTTTTTTAAAACTATCTAATCTTGTTTCAATACGTGGTACGATGTCAAAAAATTGTAAAACGAGATATACGTCAGCATGATTGTCGGCTGAATTATTATATGTGGAGAGCAAAACAAATGTCCAGATCCAAGTCATCAATCAAAAAGGAAGATACTCGGCACTGAATAATTAGTTGACTTTCCAACAGTCATTGTCCAAAAAGTTTCAAACTGTCATCAATTACTTTATAAGCATAATCATCTAACACGACAACATTCCTTACATAATAAAGGTTGAAATTTGCCCCTTATTAAATTCACAGAAATTAGTTTATTAATCAAATTGTAATTAAGTATTGTTTGATAAAAACAATGCATTATCTTCTTATGATGTTTCAAAAACCAACTTGATACCAGAAAAATTAGACGATATCAATAAAGAAAGATTACATTACCAATACTGATGTCATATTGAGTCATGCCTTATATAACGTATTAATCATAAGTTAGAATGATGCATTGTAAGAATGAATGAGTACAAATTTTATAAGTCAAAGCATACATTATTACCAAGTTGATATGCAATTCAAATATCATTCCAAAAGTTCAAGGCGCAATCCAAACAAATTTTCTATTAATGTTTCCTTCAAGAGACAACATAATACGTGTTAACAAGACAATAATCAAGATATTTTTTAAGTACTTATTTAAAAGTCTTGTTATGTTGCGTACTATCAAAGTAATCGGAAATACAATAACTAAGATAATGCACACCTACAAAAATTACGTAAAATAATATGGAAAATGGTGTGAAGAAAAAATTAAAAGAGCACGTTTATAACATTCAAAATGTGCATTTTTAAATACTTATTCGAACGTCTTATTACATTATATGCCGTCAAAAGTAAATTTAAGTATAATCAAACATCAATTCCACCAAGACACAAATATTTTCCACCCCTATCTTATTCCATGGAAGAATCTTGACCACTTGATCATACATACACAAGATGAAAACTAAAAATGAAAAAAGAAACAACAAATAATCAAACCATTTGACCCAAATTTTCTACTTGACTAATACACCCTTGAAAAATCAATCTCCATTTCAAATACAACCGTATAAAAAAATTAAATACAAAGGGTATTTCCGTCATCAAAAAGATGGAAATCGGCTACACCTCTGTGAAAGGAAAATTCTGCAATCGTCCTTAGGAACAATCGTAGGGACATAAGCAATTTCATCACAGCCGTCAGTTCTATCCCTTTTGAAATCAATCAAAGTGGCAAACATTGCAATAAACAACATCGAATGGTTGATGGCGTACCTCTGGCCCACACATTGGTGGGAACCAGCTCCAAATGCTAGAAAGTTCTTTTTATACACCCGGTCCTCGTGCCTCTCCTCCATGAACCTATCCGGATCGAACCGCTCCGGTTCAGTGAACCCTTGGAAAGAAGAGTCAAAAACCGAAGGAAAAACAATAGTCCCCTTGGGAATAACATAATTCTCCGTCAGTGGGAAATCCACTCCAGCAATGTGTGGTACCATAGTCGCCGGAGCTCGGATTCTCAGCACCTCACGCGCCACCGCCTCTGTGTACTTCATCTCCCTAAGCTGCTCTGCCGCTATCACGGTGTCGGATTCTGGTACCCAGTATTGCGCCACCTCTTCCCTCACTCTCTCTAAAACTTCAGGGTGTGAATCCAAGAAAGCCACCGCCCACAGTAAAGATGCAGTTGATGCATCTTGTGACGCAAACAAGAAATCAAATATATGGCCTCCAATTTCTTTATATGTCAATTCAAATGCGTTATTGCTTGTTTGGGTCATTTCCCTTAAATGTTCCTGCATCCAAAAATCAATCATACAACTGGGTTCTTCACCATTCTTCATTTTCTTCTCACTTTCTTCAACACAACCTGCAAGTGTCTCCACCAATCTCTCTACAGCAAGCCTCGCATTTCTAAACGCAAAACCCGGTAAATCAATCGGTAGCTTCATCAACCCGACATTGAAATAATTGTAGTCTATGTTGAACCGCTCACGCGCCACCGAGCTCAAGTAAGGCCCGACAAAAACTGTTTGGGAGGTCTCCAAATTCATGTCCCGGCAGAGGATACGAAGTGGAATAGACCCAGATGATTCATTTCCAGTTTTCTGGCACCAGGATTTAAGGTGATTGAGGATAATCCGCTGCTGGATATTCGTATACGTTTGAAGGGCTCTTGGCGTGAAATTGGGCGCTATACGACGACGTAAATCCTTGTGTTCTTGTCCGAACATATAGATTAAATTATGCTCGCCGAAGAGTTTTTTCCCAAAGGGATGGCCGACGAGATGAAAGGCGTCAGGCCGGACATTCGCGAAGATTTTGTGGGAAAGATCGGCGGAGTATATGTAGAGAATGTAGCGGCCGATGATGTAGTTTGCAGAGATGCCAATGGGAGTGGACTTAGCATACGAGGATTGCATGTCCCAGAATTTGGTCGGATTTTTTACTAAGGAAATGGCGTTGCCTATGAATGGAAAAACCAGTTTTGGCCCTGGGAGAAACCGCTTTTTCTTGAGGTAAGAAATCTGTTCGAGAAGAAGAATAAGAGCAAGAAATGAAACAAGATAAGGAATGCATGGCGATATAAAGGACCATACAGACTCCATCTTTGCGTCGTTTTAGTGAAGAATTTTGGGTTATATATAACAGTGGAGGAAGGTCAAAATGGAGATGATGGTCTAATTCAATCTAAGGAAATGAAATCTGATTCTTGCGGCGTCGTAGAATGTGTAGGAACTTTGGTAAAAGACGAAAAAGGAGACCAAATCTGAATTTATTTTCAGAATTGCAGTGTTCAAATAGATGGCAGCGTGTCTGAATTTTAAAGACAAGTAACGTGTCTAATTATGTGCCTAATCTGGTATTGGGTTGGGTTCTTTGGGTTGGCAAGGAGGAAGGTGGTGAAAAACGAGGGACAATTGTTAGTTTTGAACAGATTTCAAAAGCAAACTTATTTCAAGAAGACGAAAAAAATGACTTTTGGAAATTCATGTCAAAACGGATCTTAATTTACTTTCTTCTGAAAAATTAATAAAAGTCTGACTCAACTGTTCTTATTGCATCGAACTAGGATAGTGGTGTGACCACAAGGAGTAGCAGCCACAATCCGTAGCAGCTACTGCGATGAGAAGAAAGGGGCCGCCCTCTTCTTTGCTAGCGCGGATCTATAGATAGGACAGGTAAAGTTGGTAAAAACTAAAAAGTGGACCATTAAACCAATTCTAATTAAAACGTGATCTTGAACACGCATTTTCCTATAAAATAATATTAGACGTAAATTCAAATTTTTTTTCTTATTTTTTAACCACGTATTCTTCAGAAAAATACTATTCCAAAAATTTTAATCTCAAATAATGAGGGCCAAACAGAGACTTAATATTTATCAATCATTTACAGGTAGTCAATAGTAAATTTTATTGTACCTACAAATAATATGAACTTATTTACCATTTATTTATAAATTAAATCGTTTATAAATCTTTTCCGAATGGAGGCTTAGAAATATAACGGGATCACGCAAAGATCAAAAAAAGGAAGAAGAATTTTGTTGATGGGATACAGTGAACTTATAAAATTGGAAAAAATATATTTTATTCTTGTTGAAGCATACATAGGGTCATTAATCAAAAAAAAAATTGGGCCATGCATAGCAACCAAACACATGAGACAAGACATTGGATTCGAATTAAAATTAGGAATTTAAGACATAAAATTTGACTTTACTAATGAAATTATGCTACTTATTTCAAAAAAAAATTACACCAGCTATAGCTACCACCACCAACTCCTGGTAATAGGCCGAGCCGGCTCGGCTCTGCTCGTTCCATCTATCCACGAGCTCAGCTCGTGCTCAAGGGTCGGGCTTGGCTAGGCCCGACCCACGAGTTCGTGAGCCGAGCCCATGAGCTCGTGTTTTTTTCTCTTCTTTTTAAATTTTTAATTTTTTTTTAACTTTTTTTTACGAGCCCACGACCCGAGCTTGTTGGCCGTGCCCACGAGCCGTTGGCGAACTCGACGGGCTTGTGCTTTTGACAAGCTCGAGCCCGAGCCAAGCCGACGAGTTGCCACCACTAACTCCACTCCTGTCTAATAATCGACAATTTGAAACCCACAAATAAATTCGTAAAGTTCGGTAATCTCTTTGACTTTAATAAGAATTTAAATGATTGCTCACAAGATTCAATTTCCACAAACGTGCATGTTCAAAGATACTTCGAAGTTTGCTTTACCGTCATTAAAGGCAGATCATTTATAGATGATGTAGGATATCACTATCATCAAATGCGTACTTCTGGACTACAAGATTTGTTCATAAATACGTCATCCATCGCCCGAACTTGGAAAATCCTACTCCGCTCATATTTAACCCGTGATCCAGAAATCTATTCATAAAACGACAGA